AGAGTGTTGAAAGAGCTATCGAATGCGCTTTTCCGCGGCGCTGCAGCTCTATTAGTTCCCAAATTATGCGCCAGGTTTTCGAAAATTGTTCAAACAATCCAAACTTGACCTTTTATGACCTCTGGTCACCTAAGCTTTGACCTGACCTTATAAAGATCAAGTATTCTCTTCATTTTAACTGTCTTTCCAATGCCGCCTACCGCATGTCGCTACGTGGCCCAGGAGCCAAGTTAGACGGGGTTGTTCAGACACACACTCCCGTCCCGGCGCGGAAGGCGTTGAGCAGCGGACCAGCGCGGGTAAAACTGCTCCGTCTCCGTCTTTACTGTGTGGGCAAACACACTCCACTGGGTGGGCAAAAAGCGCTACTGGGTGGGCGATTGGGCTTAACCCTCACCGGCCGAGGGGGGGGGGGTGCCGCCCCCCCATAGGGTTTTTTTCGCGATAGCTCCGAACACGCTGGCGATAGAGAGCTGAAACTTGGCATACCTGACCTTTGATCCAAGCCGGATCTTTTGACACCAACCGCGTTTTCGGGTCAGGTCAGGTCACTGACCTATGACGTCATAAGTGAACCTCTGCACGGTCTTCAGATGTCGCAACTTCGCAACGCCCTCACTGCCAGAGGAGATGTCACAGGGAAATGAAACTTGCAGGATCTAGTATCCATTATGATTCCCACAACCTGTATATCTCGGATTTTTCCTAAAGGTCATATGAGGTCAGGTCATTTTCGTGACCTCACCATTATAAGTCAATGGGGAAAAATGAAAACTGCTATTCTGGCGCCGGGAACGATCTCCAACTATCTCAAGCACACAGAATCGTGATTTGATGCACTCCTTGCAAGGTTAGATGCGTCACTTTTGCAATGTTGACCTTGCGTGACGTCATTTATGACGTCATCAAGGTCATATTAGTTTTTCGTCAATAACTCTTAATCAAATTGAGCTAGCGAGTCGGGAAAGCCACCAATGGACTCAGGAGGGCCTGCCGAATCGAATGATATGCGACATGACCTCTTTCGACCAACTTCGTGACCTGGGGGTGCTGACCTGACCTTGACCTGAGGTCAACACCCCAAGTTGACCTGACCCGGACAAAAAGTATATCATTCGACGCGCCTGAACGAGGCGAACACGATGCTGCCAAAATCGGCGCTCTGCGGCCGTTTTTTGCGAAGTTATTCACCAAAAACTGAACCGCACCTTGGGGCACTTGACCTGACCTCAGAGGTCACCGGTTGACCTAGGACCTTAAAATCGGGTACATATCTCTGCGTCTCGTAACGGCGCACACGCTCGTTTTTTTCCGCGACGCGCTAGCTCCACCAGGGGCGAAACGGCGAGGGGGGGTCGTACCCGCCCCCCCCCCCCTCGGCCGGCGCGTATGTAGAAAACCAATAGGTCCGGCGAGGGTTAACATGTTATCCGAGGCCCTGATACTAACACAATGCAGTTTTATATAAAAGAATAACATATGAGACAGCTTGGTAACATGTTACAAAGGCACCAAAAACAATGTTCATATGGTTGCTAAATTCGAATTCAGCTAAAAAAAAACTAGCCTAGAAACATATAAAACTCGTAAAAGTGAGCCGAAGTCATCAAAGGTCAATGGTCATCAAAGGTCAATGACCTTGGGCCTGTTCCAGCGCCTCCAGAAACCTCCAGAAACCTCCAGAAAGCTCTATAATCCTCCAGAGAGCGTTCCAGCGCCTCCAGAAAGCTCCAGAAAGCTCTCGCCAAAGCTCCAGAAACCTCCAGTAGCCTCCAGAGAGTTGAGAGGTCCAAATTTCTCTGGAGGCTCTGGTCTACAATTATGGCGCACATGTGACAATCACGAATGTAAACAAAGGACATTTGACTGATTATTTTACAACTTGAATGTAAAGAAAATTACGTTGCTATAATTTTCTTAATCTTTCTTAATAAAATTGAAAACAAATTTTGCGTTTCAAGAGAGAGCAACCGTCATTCTTTTGGTATATGTGATGCCAATCTCCAGAAATCTCCAGATTGCGTTCCAGCGCCTCCAGTAAAACCTCTGGTAGAGCCTCCAGTCAAGAATTTCTACTGGAGGCGCTGGAACAGGCCCCTTACCTGACCTTCAGGTGACCTTGAAACCCACCCTAATGCATGGGAGCAACATCATATCACATGTTTGAACGCTTGAAACCACGAAAAGACTGCAAACGCGCGGCTAATGCGAGCCGACATACGCCAAATCGCGATTCCGGCCAAACATGGTCTCGAAAAGTAGGTCACAGTTCAAAAGTCATTTGGGTCAGGGTCATGAAATTTCAAGGGTAGGTGTAAAATTGATCAACGCGAGGGCACTACTCGCCCTTCCACTGCGGGGAACGTCTCTCTTCTGCCAGAGGCACCCCTTTTCTTCTTATGGGGCTCCTGTTTTTTTTTCTGGGGCGAGGCGACCCTCTGCTGCTCGGAACGGGGCACACCTCTCCTTTTACTGGGGCACCGCCCCTCTGCTGGGGTTGCCCTTCCGCTGTCGTCAGGGGCGCCCCTCTTGGTAGAATATACTCCTTTTCTTTTTGTAATGGGGCGCCCCTCTTCTACCGGGGGCGCCCATCTGCTGCTGGGGCGTCTGTCTTCTGCCGGATATTGTCAATGGGGCGCCCATATCCTGTTTGGCGGGCCCAACCTCTGCTGGAGGCTCCCTATTTCTGATTAACTTTTGCTGTGGTGCCTCTCTTCTGCTGGGGCGCCCCTCTTCTGCTTGGGGCGCCCGTCTCCTGCTGGAGACCCCTCTCTTCTGCTGGGGCGCCCCTCTTCTGCCAGTGGCACCCGTTTTCTTATTATGGGGCTCCTTTTTTGCTGGGGCGCCCAGCTGCTGTCAGGGCGCCCCTCTTCTCGGAATGGGGGCGCCTCTCTCCTTTTGCTGGGGCGTCGCTCCTCTTCAGGGGGACACGTCTCCTGCTAAGGGTGCCCTTCCGCTGCCAGGGGCGCCCCTCTTGAACAGAAGGTATTTTATATTCCTGTAACGAGACGCCCTCTTCTGCTGTGGGCGCCAATCTGCTGCTGGGGCGACTCTCATCTGCTGGGAATAGGCAATTGGGCGTCACTCTCCTGCTTGATGAGCCCAACTTCTGCTGGAGGCGCCCTATTTCTGCTGAACCTTTGCTGTGTCGCCGCTCTTCTGCTCGGGGCGCCCTCTCTGCCGCGGGATATGGGCGCCTTTTTCGGATGGCGGGGGGGGGGGCGCCCCCGCCGCCCCCCCTGGATCCGCGCCTGGCTGGCGTCACATCACGATCAAATTGTGGAGGGTACGGTGCAGACGGCTCAGGCTCCTTTTTCCATACAGCATCTCTAATGGGCAATGTACACAATGTTACTGCTATAAATGAACGATGCTGCTTCCTGGTGAATGAGCTTACGACAAAGGTGTCTTTAATGGCCTTAATCGGCTCTCCTCAACAGGGCTGTCCTGTCCATATTTATGCTCATATTTTGCCCAGTTTATGGAAGTGTTTTGAGCGACACGCGGTCAACATAACCCATTGGCGCTCCTCCGCCGCTTTCGGAGCAAACACGCCATGTTTGTTCCCGTCTTTCCGGAGACCGGACTGGAGAATCTCACCCATTTTCCTCGGACGGGGTCGATTTCCTAGGTCCACTGCTCAAATCCCGACTGTCCCAGTTGTCAGCCAGTTGATCCTAGCTAAACAAAATTCGTTTGCCGATCAGACCCTTGTTTAATCGGTTCCGGAATGTGAGCCCTCGCCGGACCAATCGGTTTTATAAACACATTCCGCTTTTTCCCCTAGGCAACGGCCGAGTAGGAAACGGGGACGACCTCCTTTGGGCTCGCTCGATTGAGCTAGTTTTTTTTTAGAAAAAAAAAACGCTGAGCTGTTAGGAGACGCAGCGATGCTAAGTAGGTATAGTATAGGTACCCAGCTTGGGAGGTCATTCGTTTGGATTTCAGCTGTAAGATCAACGGCCATAGAGCAACGATCACACAGTGCACACTGCGTATTAGTCATATCCAGCCACGCAAATAATCGATTAGCAAGGATAAGGACTTCTCAACGACAATGATGAACACTTAGCTATATGGATGACAGATGCCGAGCCCTTTTAAGTGTAAGTAAAGCCTCCCACGTGCATAAATAAAAACTTTCAAGTTTCAGTGTAATGTCGAAATGGTAGCTAAGGAGAATCGTTCCTCTTCACTGCTGTATTTTGCCACATCGTGATATTTGGCTACGGCCTACGTGAGTGATTTGACAATAACTTTGGTATACACTTTACCTACGAACAAGCACACTTGAGACTTGAAAGCGAGACCCAGGCTGAATGCTCTTCCGACTTCCTTCTAATACCTATAACGTCTAGCGTCTGTGGCGTTCAGGAGGCAGGAGCTGTCTGCCACTGGTCTGATATCTATTGAATACATACAGCATCTGGCGTAAGAAGCAGCCCCGTTCCCTTCGAACTAAGGTATTTTGTATGATGGGTATTGAGGCGGTCCGAGCCGGACCTTATAAGAAAGCTCAGAGATCGATTTCCAATTTCGTGCTTTTGTCTGCCTTTTGATGTTTGAAATTGCTTTCCTATCATCGAGGGCGTCTAGAATTGGATACCCACACGAAAGCGTAAACGTCTCATACAACAAAATGCTCTCGACTTGAAAGCTTTCGAAGCACTCTGTAAGAGGATTGGTTCCGCCCTCGTTGAATTTGAAGTCTGAGACTCTAAACTCTAAGCGCCACCAGGGAGGGCCGTCATTCTCCATCTTAACCTCTCAGGACCTCATCATCTGTGTTCATTATCCCGACTGCAGCTTATGAGCCTCCCGGCACAGATCAACGGCGACGAGCTGAGAGCTCCAACTGCCCCCCGCCCTCCGTCCAACTTGTTGATCTGCGCCGTGTTTCGCGTCGCAGCCGCCAGGGGCGCGGTAGTCGCAGCAGAATGCCGTCGGTCGCCGAAGCGCGGGCCAAGGCATCATACGCACCGCCTGGACCGCGGCAGTGGCGACGCGGCACTGGAGTGGTGAGGGTTAGTGACGCGTGAACTGAGTGCAGTTGACCTGGTCAGGTGGGAAATACAGGACTTGGACGTCTTCGCTCGTGAATCTGGCTTGCTGCATCGACTCGTGCTGAGGACTTGAGTCTCTTCAAGTCGCTGTTGGCTTGCCGACGCGTCATTTGGTGAAATATGATGCTGAGCTGAACGGATCCAACCCAGGTCAGTCCCGCATGCTATGCAGTACCAGTTTTTGATAGAGGTGTATGACCATGTTTGTTGTGTTGATAATGAAGATTCGTCGTTCCTAAGATAAGAAAGACTCGGAATGCTTCGATTAGGTATATTTGTATCTTGGCTCCCACGACAATTTTAGCGATGTGTGTTCAGTGGTGTAAAGTGAGTCGCATAGGACGCCTGGTTCTGTACTCGGCACACTTGGCGAGCTAACGCTACGCAGTGTTGAGGCAAAGTGAGCGGTCCTCGGTTTTATTCGCGTCTGTGTCGCAGTCTGATGTTTTGGCCTTGCGTCTCGCGATGCAACAGGTTTGGCTCGGTGATTGCTCCGCGCCCCGTTCACAGACGTCCCCGCCCCCCATGCCGTAATGCGCGGGGGGCCCGGGAAGGCACGGTTTTAGGTGACATTGCCAATCGTCTTTGATCGCAATAGTGACGACAATATTTTTGCTTCTGTCACGGATAATTCAGATATGTTTACATAGAGTAACTCATGTGCTGCAACCGACATTTATGCTCATTAGAAAAAATGGATGAATAGTAAGACGACCGGACGATGGTGGTTAACATATCAATAAACACATTTACACACGCCTGACATTTGTATTCACTGACCAATGACCATTCTTAACTTTTGATTCCTCTGATTGATATTTGGGTATTGATTGTGATTTCCAAATGAATAGATGAAGAGAAGCCACTCCGTCTTCTTGGCTAAATTTCTGTTCTTTATGAGAGCATTCCTTTCGCAAACGTCGAAGATGAAATTACTTTTCTCTTAATTCCATGAATACGATTTGCGGAAGCACCTGGAGGTCAACAGATGTCGTTTTTTTAAGGACGCTGATTTTTATTTTATTGTCCCGGGAGGAGTGCTGTAATCCGTCTCAGTTCTAGTTTCTAGCCTAAGCTATCTTTAGATATAAGCTGGTTTCTGATTGATGGTCATACATTCGTACATAAATGCAATTTGCTTGAACTATAGCTGCTATTATATCGATCGATAGATGGGGAAAGAAGGCATACAGAGATAAACGAGTTTCAGCTGATGCTTTAAGATCACGATGCTGTTGATGCTATAGACCATTTTACCAATTCAACCATCTCGCGAAATTGGGATGATTTTCAAGCACGCTGCAAACATTCAATGAATTCGAGATCAGCTACCTTGCAGACCATCCAGCATAGAGATCGCTACAAATAGGAATCGGCCTCAGATTATGCTCAGAAGAGACTGCGTGGGCAGATTGACTGTTGAAGCTGGAAACTAGCAAAGGCGAGATGTCTGTCAGTGGTAATATATAATACTGAACGAGGCCGGTGTAAATAAATTTTCAAGACCGAGGTCCTTACTGGATTTTTGAACGAGGCCGAAGGCCGAGTTCAAAAATCAGTAAGGACTGAGGTCTTGAAAATTTATCACCGGCCGAGTTTGGTATGTATTTTACTGTATGCCAACGATAAATTTATGTTCTGGACCGAAGCTCTTAGCCGACTTAGGAACGAGACCATCCCAAAATGTTGGCTTAAGTGCAAACTGGTAATGCATTTTTGACCGTGGTCAATTTGCTTACACCAGTTATTACCACACCCCTCCGGCTAATGTATTTGAATAGGCGAGGCATACAGTAATATATAATACTGAACGAGGCCGGTGTAAATAAATTTTCAAGACCGAGGTCCTTACTGGATTTTTGAACGAGGCCGAAGGCCGAGTTCAAAAATCAGTAAGGACTGAGGTCTTGAAAATTTATCACCGGCCGAGTTTGGTATGTATTTTACTGTATGCCAACGATAAATTTATGTTCTGGACCGAAGCTCTTAGTTGACTCAGGAACGAGACCATCCCAAAATGTTGGCTAAAGTGCAAATTGGTAATGCATTTTTGACCGTGGTCAATTTGCTTACACCAGTTATTACCACACCCTTCCGGCTAATGTATTTGAATAGGCCAGGCATACAGTAATATATAATACTGAACGAGGCCGGTGTAAATAAATTTTCAAGACCGAGGTCCTTACTGGATTTTTGAACGAGGCCGAAGGCCGAGTTCAAAAATCAGTAAGGACTGAGGTCTTGAAAATTTATCACCGGCCGAGTTTGGTATGTATTTTACTGTATGCCAACGATAAATTTATGTTCTGGACCGAAGCTCTTAGCCGACTTAGGAACGAGACCATCCCAAAATGTTGGCTTAAGTGCAAACTGGTAATGCATTTTTGACCGTGGTCAATTTGCTTACACCAGTTATTACCACACCCCTCCGGCTAATGTATTTGAATAGGCGAGGCATACAGTAAAGGTATGTGTCTGGATGTGCACATCGAGTCCTGTTTGCTGCTTTCGGAGGCTCGTTCTCTCTGAACCTGTGCGTACTTTAGAATAGCGAGAGCGCTCAAAATCTTTTCAAAACCACACGAACCTCACTGCTCCAGCTCACATTACCCTCGCGTTGCTTATTTTTGTTGAAATTCTTGGAAACGAGATGTTTTGAAGTGGACGCTCGCCATACCTGTGGCTGGTAAACATTATTGATGGAGAGGCCTATTATGCAAGGTTATTTGCCTGCAACATATGACAAAAATAAGTATGACGCACAACAAAATATTTTTTCGGTGGCTGTCCACTCCTGTTAGGGCTTGTTTTCCGGAATCACTAGTCGTATTTAGTTTTTCGTTTCAGTTGTTGAACACCTATGACTAATGAGGTGGTGAAAAACTAATATTTATTCACGAACCACCTGAGTGCCAACTTGTAACTTCAAACATACCATTTTAGCCTTTAAGATACCTATGCCCAAAATCTTCGAATTCAGCCCATTTGGCTAATCGTCTAGCTGCCATCGTTAACCTCCGTCCACTTACTCTTGGCCATTCCGCTGAGGTTCCGTTCCACTGGGCTACCTTCCTGCTTCGGCGGCACGAGTGCTCTGGCCACCGCGCGATGATAAATGACCTCAGGATGACCACAGGCCGCGCTACATTAGCTCGCTAACGGCTCCCAGTTTGTTCGCCGCGCTACCCGACTACATGGGAACGCCTCAACTTATGAGCAAACATTTGACAACTTTCTGCTGTTCGACGAACCTGCTTAGACCGAGTGGCGATTAGTGCGCTCTCATGAGGTGCTCATTTTTCTTAGGGTGCAATTTAGGCGGCTGTTTGGTTTTGGAACGCTGGACCAATTGGAAGTTGAAATGTGCGTGGCTTCGCAATGTCTTTGGACCGCTTAAACTTGTGCAAATGATGGGTGGTGAGTAATTTGATTATTTTGCAAAGGTCTACGGACTTATTAGTGGACTGAACAATGCACGTTCATTCTCCAAAAGCTTAGAAAAACATATTTGCTGCTTAAACCAGAATTCGTCCTCGAGAGTCTCAACGTAAACTAAATAGAAAAATACACTTAGGTAGGTACGTAAGGCCAACGATCGCCTTTATATATGTGCTGCATTCGCTTGTACTTACATACAAAATGTGTATTGTGAGTCAATGAAATACATAATTGAAATAAGGGATTTAGTCTGTTCATACTTCAATACTTATCCTTCTCGTCTTCTCAGAAGGGTATCATAATTCGTAAACTCCATTCGGTATATCTGAAAACAGCTTGTAGGTGCCATATGCTCTGTCATATACCTACATAAAATCGCAACCAAGAAATAGATGTTCCGACTTTTTGTAACAACTCTTTTAGAAGATAATCATCTTAGAAGTGCTGCATCCACTGTCTCAAGACCAGACATGTGCATGGATCCGAGAGCTGGATCTATGATCTCAGTGGATCTCTCGACAAAATAGAGGGGTTGGATCTATGATCCGAGTGGATCTCTCGACAAAATTCAGGGGTTGGATCTATGATCCGAATGGATCTCTCGACAAAATTTAGGGGTCGGATCTATGATCTCTGTGGATCCAGCGGGCAAAAATTTGTGGAGGACCTATGATCTGTATGGATCTCACGACAACATGTAGCCAATGAAACCCTTATCCTACATAATTGTACACCTTACAGTGCAATACAATTGAGAATTGTCACTTGTGGACATGGTTAAGACCAGTTGTAATCATTAGGTATCAGCATTAAGTTTGAATTTAAATCAACAACATTTGTACTACATTTAAAATAAACCAAGAACATGCACATTGCTACTTTTTTGTGACCAATTGTAACTTTTTCATGACAGCACTGATGACAATTTTATCAACAAGCTACAGCCACTTTAATTCAATGGACAAACAGTACAGACAGATGCAGTGGCAGCAAGGCACTGCAGATTTTCATTTTGGTCCCATTCTTTCCATGCAACGCCATAGGGCTAATGTTAAAATGCCAAAATCTATGGGGGGCACTGTACCCTGGTGCCACCCCCCCCCCCCCTGTTCCGCCGCCTATGGACAGATGTTAGGAAATCAAATCTGGAAGCCAAATAGGTCAGTTTTGTTAAAAATAATCCAGCAATCCACTTCTGCCATGGGTATGAAATCCCAATCCAGAATGTTCGTATGAGCTGTTAGTATGTGCAACACAATTTCGATTTAGTTAGAATAGCAAACAACCTCTAATACTTTCCTAATAAAATTACAAGTTCAAAAATGGCATCAACTTCTTCAGATTACCTACTTTTGGCATCGTGCCATGTGTGGTGCCATGCTGTGCTTTCGTTATGAGAGAGCCTCCCAAAAAAAGACAAACGAAATTCACAGCTCACGTTTTGGTAATATTTTTATTACGTCATTATCGTTTGACCAATGAAAAATCTTAATTTGACTAAAACCGTAATGATTCCAAAAGATTCCCCGTAATAGGCCTTTCAACCTAATGACGTAAGATATTGTGATGCTTTTGAAAAGTGAATAAAATAAAGATGCAAGGCGCGACCCGGCTCAGGGCCATATAATACCGTTTTAGCTTACGTTTACGTCATTAAACTCAACGCTACAAAGATGATATTCACAAACAATCGTATCGTAAAATTATGTGAG